GGGGGAGGGGGTGTCCCCCTACCAGTGTGGAAAATTCTAAATCCCAGGGGGGCAGCTGCCCCCCCCCCCTGCCCCCCCGGAGACTACGGCCCTGAACCCATAACACTCACAACTCCGTGGTAACATTATTTTTAGAGCAAATCATTTTCTGCTGCAAATCCAAAATGTCCAACTGATGATATTGAATAATAAGGTTACATTGCACGTTTGAAAAAAATGTCACTGGCATATGAACACACTTGGTTCGTTCTAGATAATGTATGAAACATTTCTACAAGTACGTGACTTACGTTAACATTAAGTAAATACCATTACCCAACATCATTCAATGTTTATCATTAAAATGATTCACTTTTTATCAGAGGAACCTTCGATAAATGCAGCTGTCATCGACCAAATTTCGAACATCATACTTGAGTTTGTCCTATTATTTTATTTCCCACATGTACATGTACATGTATGTCATATATCATTTAAGTTGGTTTAGAACAAGGAGACGTGAAATGCCTGGGACATTTCAACCAATGCATGACTTACGTTTTCGTGTCCTAGAAGTCGCTTAATGGATCCCAGTGTGTAAAGTTGCCACTTTTTACCATTGGTTTCGTTGCGTCCAGATATACCCAGATTGTGGAAATATATGTTTGGGGAACGCTTAAAGTCCTTTTTTCCTATACTGGAAACAAGTTAAGAGAGAAAATTGTGATAATTTTCCTCGCGTCATGTTCAATGAGGCTTGTTAAACAATTAATCATCTATCCTATACTGAGAAAAATTTAAATGGGGGCATTCATGTGTCAATGAGATAATGATATGAAGGGATGGTTAAGTATCGTCCGAAGATACGAATGAACAAGCCATGAGTCAAAAAGCAAACATTCACTGCTCGCATGTGCGGCAAGCCTCACATGTTATTTGTTATCATTTTTTTATTGGGGCGGGGGGGGGGGGGGGGGCTTACATTCCTCAGAAGCGAAGGAATAGAATATGCCTATTTTACGCACTCCGATAAATTCGTCGCTGCTTATAAACGATAGGTACCACTATTTTGCTTATTTCGCGGGGGAAGTACTTACCTTGGATCAAAACAGTGCACTGTACAATTTCTGGTCTTGTCCATATAGTCGTCAAAAGACCAGTTAGTACTGATGCTGGATACGAAATAAAAAATATTTACATCTGCGTTAATATCATTTTTGTACCGTATTCCACTTACTTTAAGACCACATTCCCACAGTTTTTAGATCGATCTATCCCTGTGGGGAGTCTCACTAGATTACAGTCAACTTAGCCGGCTTAAGCGTCTGTCCCGCCTACTAAAAACTGTAAGGGGGTAATTAACTACCGTGCGCGCTCGGCTAACATCAATTTAGCGTGAACCCCCAGGGAGTTAGGTCGATCTAGATGGATCGATCTAAATCTATGGGAATGCACTCTAAGTCATTGTTCACATCAAACGCTATATTCAACGGGTGCCTTACCTTCCGAACATAAAATACTGACGAGGGTCGAGTAACAAGCACTGATATGGGGGGGGGGGGGGGGGGTCTGTGTTGTTCGAGTGAAAAAAAAGGCTGTAAGCCTTAGCTTGGGATAGAGCCCAAGGGATTTTAACACCAATATTATATTATTCCTACGTTGTTTCCTTGCAAGCTAACCAACACACATGTGAGACGAAATTGCAATATTATTTTTTATCATATCTATAGCCTACTAAACATTGGTATTCTACATTGACAAGACTTCACAGCTGGCGGACATAAATTACTGATATGGTTGTAGCAGTAATATAAGTCCTACTCAGGTAGACATGAAAGAATTCCACAAGCAGACAGAATTTGCAAAAAGTGTTATTCTAGGGCAATAGAAGATGGAATCCATTTACTAGTGCCGTGTCCTCTTATACAGATCACCGCTATGATCATTATTCAGTGTACAAAAACATAGAAACTTTGAGACTCTTACCAGAATGGGTTGATTTATAACACTAATGACTGGTAAGAACAATGAACAATATGATTGCTCTTGATAAATATTTATGTTTAGCCTTCCAAAAAAGGGACTGTGCTGCACCCATTATCAGCAAGTGTACTGACAGTTGAGTAGTAAGAGCCACTTGGGCTCTGCCAAATATGTTTTGCATTTTTCTCACAAGTAGTCATATTATATCACTATTTAATATAGTATATATTTATTTATAATTACATCCTTGTTGTACATTTTCATCTTCTTACCCAAAGGAGTAGACTAAACATTTTCCCGGTTTCATATTGTATGGCGGGTCAAGGCACATCTCCCAGCCACCGTCTCCTGATTCCCCGGTTCCTGCTCTAATCCGGTGTCGGCAGTCGAACTGTAAGTTTTGAAGATATCTGGAAATTGAAAAAGGAACCAAAATATTGTTTTTATTGAGGGGGCAAATGGGATAATTTTAGTTCAGATAGACCTAAGAGCAGAATAACAAATTTCAAATAAGCAGCAGATTTTTTTCTTAAATAATGCTAATAATTTATTAACTGTACATTACACAGCGCTGAGACTCATGTGTAAGTTTGGTTTTAAATGTTTTATTATATTTCATTAAATGTTACTATATTATCATAACCATGATCAGATTGTAATTGAATGCATGTATGTAAGCATTTAAATACAAACAACGTGCGATAAACCTTTATACAGTATAGTAAAATATCAATTTTCCTGGAAACTTCAGCAATTTTCATATTCATCGAGGTATAACCTATCCAAACCCGTAAAAAAAACAAAGATCCATTTCACTGTTTGTGAGTTTTATATTTTTTCCAAACTTATTCCTAACGTAAGTCCAACGCACGTTGCCTGTCTTTAAGCTTTATTTTGTTTCATGAAAATGTTTCATTATGTGTACCTGAAATAGTCCAGCTCAATCTTATCAGATATTGCCCCATCCGCCGACAGTCTCGGAGCGGCTTCTCTTGAATAGTCAATGTCGTCTGCTAGATTGTAGAACGTTTTCAGTGGAGTAGGTTTTATGGTTGATGCTTTTTTAAGGTGGAGTTTCTCTCTCGCCTTGAAAAAAGATGAAAGTTAGGTCCTCCATCCCGCGTGAATCGAAATTATAATTTTAATTGTAAGTACAAATGCATCAGATGTAAGTTTTCCACCTTTAAATTTTATTACAGCAGAATTAATTTTAAATACTTACAAGGTGAGAGATAAAATGCATTATGCAAGCATAGGTATTTAATACTGGTATAACATTGAACTTTTCAAAACATAACAGATATATAAAAAATAATAATACAACGTATTTCATGAAGTTCTTATTTCACACTCGAGAGCTTTCCATTATTTAACGTGCGAAAAATGATAAAAGTTTAAATATCGGAAGCGAAGAGCACAGAAGTGAAATAGGTATTTTTCGCATGAAAACACAATGTCAACCATTTATCATGGTAGCATAACTTAACAATTTTAAATACCTTGTTACTGACTGTTTGAACAGGTTTTTCTTAGAGAGAGAGAGAGAGAGAGAGAGAGAGAGNCCAATTGTCATGAAACTCACAGGAGTGGTCATTCCTGCTAAAACGCAGGTTGAGTTCAAAAATCAGCTTAATCGGGCCATTATTTCAAAGAAATGCCGTTTTTTCACATTTCCTCAGATTCATTTCTTAGGCATGTTAACAGTTTCATTATTTAATTAATAAGATACGTAAAAGTGTTTGTTTGGCATTTCCTGCATCTTTACAACATTATTAGTTGATTATGTAAAAATGATGGTAAACTTGTTATCGTGTATTGTGTAATAAAGTTTCAAAAATGGAAATAAACTCATATAATTGCAGTTTGTCAGATTCAATCATTAAAATTTTGCATCAGAATTGACAGTAGCCTATTTTGTGCATAGTTATTTCCTGTTTTTTGTCTGTACATTTGACAGCTTTGCTGCCTTGTTTTTTACCAGGACCAAAAATAAATAAATAAATAAATAATAAAATAATAATAAAAAAAATAAACAAAAAAAAACTTGGTGTTCTCACCGTTAAACTGTTGAAATTTAAAGTTTTTTTTTAGTCTTATTATTAATTCTTAGACAACTTTTTGTTTGCTTGGCCATAGCCAGGTTTACATCCTTTCATTATAATTTTTAGCAAGGGAGTGTAGTATCCTTACTTATGAAGAAAGGGACTAGTATATATTTGAGTACTGTAGTAGATCTGAAAAGAAAATGGCTGGATTCACTGCTGTGTGCTGCCGCTATAATACTTTGAAAATAACAAATGGATTAACATTTATGGGTACTAATAGACCGATAATTAAGGGGCACTATCATAGGCATGTATGTTTAAACAAAATCGTTTTTACAGTTAAGTTGAAGAGGAGCAGGGCACTGTTACTAACATTACTTTATAAATGTGCAATATAAAAACAGATGCCCTCCTCCTCAAAAATATAAAAATAAAGTAAGAGGGTTCATTTCAGCTGTAAATATTTGTATATTTCAGAGGAATTTGTGGCCCATGGAAGCAATGTGAATTGCCTGGCCCTGGGCCACAAGTCTGGCCGCGTGATGGTGACAGGAGGGGAAGACAAGAAAGTCAACATGTGGGCCGTAGGAAAACCAAACTGTATCATGGTAAGTGTGGACTGGATGGAATTTGGAGTTTAGAGAGAGAGAGAGAGAGAGGGGAGAGTGAAGGAAGAGTGGAAGAGAGGGAAGGAGAGAGAGAGAGAAAGAGAGAGAGAGGAGGGGTGAAGAGGGAGGATGCAAGTATTTTTGTTCTGCAGGCAGTATTATGAGGTATTTTGGACTTCTCTTAACATTATTTATAATTCTTAAAGAACAGTTGAGATGTTGTTCAACATTGAAATAATTATTTCTCTTCAGGTTGTAAAAAAATTAACTGTGATTCAGTCTGAATAAAATCCAAGTGACACGCCCCTGACCTTGTAACTATCCAAAATATTTGGTTGTCTCCCAGAAACAGCACTTCTTGCCAGTGGGGTTGACTTTAATTTTCATGATGTTGATGAATTGGAAGTTTTTCCTTTTAAAAGAAAATGCTCATTTTGGAAGTGTGCCATCTTTGTTATAGTGTTGTTGTTTTTGGATTTTTTTCTGACCTCTTGTTAGCAGGTAAAATTTTATGTTAGGGCTGGTATATGATATCTGCAGTGCTTTTGGTACAGTTTATTGCCCTTAAGCCTTTCACTTCTAGTTTAGTGTATTATGCTCAGAGTAGCAGCTTTTGAGCAAGCACTTGAGATATTATCTCTTTAAAACTTATTAGCATGACAAACAAGTAGAGAGCTCTTTTACTTCTAGGTACAGACATAGATTTAATCCTAAACTTTTGATATCTCAGTTTGGTTTTGTTTGCTCTTTTTTATCACCTACCTACATAAACATTTCAGCTGATAAAAACAACTGTAAACATTCTGCCAGCAACCTGTGGACATTATGTAATGTTATTACCTGCCTAAGACTAATTACCTGGGCCCCAGAACTCGAAAGCATCGCCTATGGCGAACGAGCACAAGCGTCTCGATTCTGTAACTCGCCCTGTATAATACATTGTAGCCTCTATGTGATAGCGCTATTCGCAATACATGATGCTTTTGAGTTACAGGGCCCCTCATCACTTTGATATTTGATGATTGAGAAGCTGTAGGAAAAATGTTATGATTCTCATTCAGGCCTACCCTGGCATTAAAATGTCATTTATGAATTTTCTTTTATTGTTCTTTACTGCAGGCTTTGGACTAATGGTCCCCATTGCTACATTACTTTAATTTGGACATCGCCTCCCTTGCCTCCTCCCCTCCTCCCTCCCCTCCTCTCACACACATTGATGGGCAAACGTGTGCGTGCGTGCATGCACACACGCACATACACACACACACACACACACACACACAGAACATGTCATTTTGTATATTCTCTCTATTTTACCAAATTTTCTCTATTCAGAGCCTCTCTGGACATACAAGTGCCATAGAAGCAGTCCGATTTGGCAACTCAGAAGAAATGGTAGCTGCGGGGTCCATGTCTGGGGCTCTCAAAATCTGGGACTTGGAGGCAGCAAAAAGTGAGTGTAGCCGTCAAAGCATAGCTCTTTGATGTGACAGGGTTTGAGCATGATGAATCCTTGTGGTCAGAATTCTTTGAGTATGTGCTATAGTTGGCTACAAGTTCAATTGGCATTGTAAGTTTGACTTTTATATATAGGAACACTGTATTCTTATCTTTCAATCAATCAATATGATATATTGAATAGAGTGCATTTGGGAGGTTATTCTCTGCAAAACCACCTCAAGCTCAGCTGGAACTTGTATCTTAATAGTGCAGATTGAAATCACCAACTGATTTTGGAATTTTTAGGTCAGGCCCTTTTAGCATTTGTAATACAGACTGAAATTGTATACTTCTCTTTTGGGAATGTACCCCATATCACTATTCATAGCTTCCTCTTTGATTTTTGAAATCCGTGCATGTTGCAGTTTGTTTGTTATGGTGTTGCCAGTATTGTTGCTATGTTGTATACGAGTCAAAAAAAAAAAAAGATTGTATTTTGTACCCATTATAGCCGGTATTTCTTTCTTTCTTTTTTTAGCTCAAAAACTTGCTGTGTTTGCAATTATTGTTTAATCCTGCCTTGACAGAGAGGAGAAGAATTTTGGGGAAAATGTGTTTCTTAGTGAATATTTTAGTAGAAAGTACTGAAATTTAGAACCCACTCCATAGGGTGTTGTTCTTGTGTTTAACCCAATGAAAAAAGTCTGTCTTTTTCAGGAAGGCAGAAAATATATTTAAATTTAATTTTATCTTTGAACTTTTGGTGTTTCAAAGAAATTTGATTAAAAAGTCTATCAGCTTTTGATTAAGGGACATTTTTTTTTTTTTTTGCAACATCTCAAGGGGGCAACAAGTGAAAAAAAAAAGGGGGCACTTACTAAGTACTTGCCAGTAGAGGCAAGGGTGTTGTTCAAAATCACTCATTGACCATTAACGGTAACTGTAATTAACCCAGTGGCCTGGACAATAATAACTGGTGTCTGGTGTGGGACTTTGGCCGATTTGACACGTAGTTCAATAAAGACAGCCTTAATGAATCCTTAATACATCGGCAGCTTGAGTTTTGATCGAGTTACATCTGCACAATGTTACTGTATAAGACTTGCTTTCTGCAATGGTGGGACATTGGAAATTGATAGTTCCAGGTGTCTTGGATAATGATTGGTTACAATGATTGTATTATGTTGACTGATAGTAGATTAAATCAGTTTTTTTTGCCATTGACAAACATACAAACTATGCTCTGTTAATTAGTATACCTTATGTGATGGCACGGTGTTCTCATAATATGGCTATATGGAAGCAGTGTAAGAACAGAACAGGCTATGATAAATGCTGTTAGTTTGATAAACATGATTGACAAATAATTTTCTCAAAAAAATTGCTTCATTTCTAAAAAGAAGAGACATATGGATTGGTAGCTCACTTTGTCATTTTGCAAGTATATAAATCTTGAAAGTAAAGTGATGGGAGAGGTAAGTGGTCAGAAAATTGGTGTGTAACCACCATAGATATCAAGCTTTGCAATAGGACCCCACTGGTCACTTGGGTCATCGTTGACCAGTAGCTGAGGGCACTGTTTGTGTGAGTGACCAAGGGCAGTTTGTGGTGTGATTAATGTGTGATAAGGGGCTGGGTCATTAAGTTGATGAAAGCGGAGATACAGGCACCTCAGGGCTGGGATAGGTGGTAATGTCTCAATGGTCAATTGTCAAACCAGGCCTGATGATGGCGGTCTTGGTGATTTTAGACACCTGTGATGACCTGTAATAGCCACCTTGCTTTTTTATCTTCATCTCAGTATATTTTAGAACATTTCTAAATGCTAGTGTGATTATTGTGAAATATAGTGTGATTCCTGCAGTATTGATGCACTACAATAACATAACAATTACAATACAGCATAACACTGCATCATTACAATAAAACAGTCTAGAAACAATAAAACATACCAGTACAACATAACACAGTAACAGTATAACAAAAACAATACATCATTACAATGTTAATGTAATATAACAAAAATGGCATGTTACAATAACAATGCAACATTTCAATAAAAACATAATTGCTTTTTCTATACTATTTCCAGTTGTGCGTACTCTGACAGGGCACAAGGCCAACTTACGCAGCCTGGACTTCCACCCATATGGAGACTTCGTGGCCTCGGGTTCTCTAGATACCAACATAAAGGTAGGGGGAAGTTTCAGCTAATACTAAAGGAAATGATCTGTTCCTTGAGATTTGTTGGAAATAATAATTTGAGTTAAGGGGGGATAAGTTATGTGGAGTCTACTGTATTTGTGTATTGCAATGTCTGTGTGTGCATGTGAGAGAGAGTAAAATTTTTTCGGGAAAAGATTTATTTGAACCATTGATTTAAAACGTGGAAAAATATCTTACCTTTTGGGCAAGTGATAGAAATATTTTAAAACAATTTTCTGCAATGAACTACTAATCCTTTTTTATGGTGACAAGGAAAAACTTAAATCATTTAGATATTTTTATTACTTTTCAGTTGTGGGATATCAAAAGAAAGGGCTGCATATTTACTTACAAGGTATGTGTCCTACAGAGGGTGTTAGGGAATATATAGAAATGCACACTAGAATAAGCTCTACTTGTACTTATATGTTCTAATACGTATACAGTTTTGATATTATTCCATGATTTTTTTAAAATTGGAAGTTTATAGTTGTTAGAAGTTTGATCCTGAATTTGATCCTAAATTACGAAATGGCTGTTGTAAGATGGAATCTTTATATCATAGTTTTAACTCAAATTACAAAATGCTTTTTAGTTTCTGTTTAACTTAAAAGGAAATATTGGAAGTGGTATGTAATTTTATTATTTTTTTTACTCCAGGGTCATACTAACTGCATTAACTGTTTGAGGTTTAGTCCAGATGGGAGATGGATAGCCTCTGCCGGGGAGGATGGCAGTGTGAAGGTAATGTTTGTATAGGGGAATGACTCCTTTTGACCCTAAGGTGTACATATGATTTCTTTAAATAGAGGTCAAATATCAAATTAATTTTGAGACCACTAAAGAAGATGGAGTGTTTTTAAATCTTATTCTTTAGTTGTGTGTGTGTGTGTGGGGGGGGGGGGGGGATTTTAAATTCATGTAAATAAACAAATTGATTTTTTTTTGAATGCCTGATATTGGGATATGATGAATACACACGCATATGCACAAGCACGCACACACATGCATACACGTGTGCATGCACACACACTGTTTTGTCTTTTGCGTATTTCAGTTACATATTTTATCCTGTAGCTACATTTGTCTTCCATGTTTCAGCTTTGGGATCTGACTGCTGGTAAATTACTCACAGAGTTAAATGACCACACAGGGCCAGTCAACAGCTTAGAATTCCATCCAAACGAATTCCTTCTTGCATCTGGGAGTTCTGACAGGTAGGATGTCAAAGTGGTTTTTTATGTACAGACACAGATGTGTCTGTACATGTAGCCATCATCTGCGTCTGTCGTCGCCGTCGCCGTCGCCATCGCCGTTGGCGTGCACTTTAACCGTAAACACGATAAATGAAAAGCCATTTTACCTTTTGGCTTGAAACTTACAGAACTGATGAATATTCATAATACGCCGGTCAAGTTCGAAAATCAGCATGATCGGGCCATTTTTAGGGAAGTTATGCTTTTTTTTTTCACTTTTTTCAGCATATATGCAACACCGTAAACACGATAAGTGAAAAACTGTATTACATTTTGGATTGAAACTTACAGTACTGATGAATATTCATAATACGCCGGTTAAGTTCAAAAATCAGCATGATCAGGTAATTTTTAGGGAAGTTATGCTTTTTTTCACTTTTTTCAGCATATATGCAACACTGTAAACACGATAAGTGAAAAACTGTATTACATTTTGGCTTGAAACTTACAGTACTGATGAATATTCATAATACGCCGGTTAAGGATGTAGATAACAGGGGTAGCTATCTTCTAAACCGGCCAAGATATACCAACATGTTACATATCAATAGAAAGCTTATTTCAACAGCTCTTCATTTCATATCCTTATTTTATTATGTAATCGTTACGTAATGAGATATAATGCTTAATAGGTGTGCTCAACATGATCTTTACACCTTAAAAACTAGAAGTCCACTACAAATGGACATGTGTAGACAGCTTGACTCGTGAGCCCTCATAGGGATCAACAAGAATGCGCCTGAAATTAGCGATATGTGTTAAATTAGCAGAGATATCAAAATAAACTTGGTTTCCAGTTCAACGAGACCCCCTAGCCTAACTAAAGCATGCCTAAGTTGAAAACGGAGCTGATGTTATGAAATCCCAGACACATACTTTCAGACAAACCTTAGATCTAACGAATGAATACCAGCTTTCATCGGTTGAGAGTTCTAATTAATTTTGACACTGGTCTAAATCGTTCTCTTGAAGCCATAAACTGAAGCGGAGAAATCAGCCTTTTAGTGCTCCCCGGAGATTCCAACGTTATATAATCAGTGAGCTGCATTGGCAAGCTGAGAAATTTAGTTATTTATACTGGTTCAGCCCTCTACTCACTGCCTATGTAACTGTCACTATGTCTTTCATCCATTTTCAACATTATTATTGAACATTTTCAAC